AAGCACCTCAGGCCTGGGACCCCCGGGCCAGCGAGCGGCCGCCGCGCGCCTCAGCGCTCTCCTTCCGCGTCCCGCCCGCCCGCAGGCTCTCTCTACTCCATCTTTCATCCCCTTTAGACGCTCGCAAAGCTGAATTACACCACCATCCATTCTCCACACAAAATCCGAGTGTTCCAACCTTCATGACCTTTGCTCAAGCGTTTCTCTTAATCAGGAACCTACTTTCTACCTTCAATATTAAAAATCCTATTGCTCTTAAGTCACAAACTAAATATTTCTCATATGGGAAGACTTCCCAAGGTTCAAATTCTGGTTTTCCAAGTTTCTGATTATTGACAAAAAGCAAGTTTTTCACATCTCAAAAAATGTAGCCTTTTCTGAGGAAATGGACTATTCATTCTTATTTTGCAAAGATTAAATTAAATGTTTTGTATAAACAGCCTAATATAGTGCCTGGCATAGAAAGAATAAATAAACACTAGTTATTGTTATTCAGTGAAACAGTACACTGATTAAACTTAATAAAGTAAACTTAATAAAGAGCCCAGAAACTACTATACTTGGAATTTAAAATGTAATAAAGTAGCATTTTAATTTAGTGAGGAAAGGAAGACCAACTCAATTAATGGCATTTGGATGTTGGACTACATTATTTTTTAAGAGAATAAAATTAGTTTCCACCTCACTCAGTAAAAAAATAAAATTCCAAATAAATTAAAGATGCACTTTTTTTTAACCACAAAAATATTAAAAATTAAAATGAAGTCCTTAGAAATATAGAAAAGTATGTTGGGGTTGGAAAGCTCTTCCTGAGATAAGAAAACCATATTTCAGAAACAGTAACAATTGAATGATATTATTATGCAAAAATGTAGTCAAGGATAAATAAAAATCCTAGGAGAAAAAAATTACAAAGCATATAACAGACTAAAGGATAATATCCTTAAATACTAAGTTTCTATAAATGAACATGGAAAAATTAGAAAATGTGCAAAGAATCAAAATAGGAAATTCACACTACAAGAAAAATAAATGGCCAATATTCATTCATATACAGATGTTTGAACAGATGTTCAAAATGTAAAGAAATGAAAATCAGTATCATATTAAAATATCACAGTTTTCCTATCATATTGGAAAACATTTTTTAAAATTTAGCCCCTAGCGCTGGTGGCATTGCATGAAAACAAATATATCTTTAAGGGTATTCATTGCTACACTGTTGCAATAGTAAAAGAAATTATTACAATTTCCATATCCATTAATAGAATAATAAATAAATTATGGTACATATATTACAATGGAATGTTTTGCTTCCATTTTTTAGAAAAGGAGTAATAGCCGTAGCATACAGTTAAGTAAAAAAGCAAATTGAAGATTTCAGTGCTTAAGATAATGTTTTTCTCTGTGTGTATCAGTTAGGACATTTTACATTATAAGTAGCAGAACATCCAACCTTAGTTTGGCTTGAGAAAAAGGAATGTCTTTGTTTCTGAAACTGAAAATTATGTTTCTAGTATCAGATTTATCTAAAGATTCAAGACATCATCCAGATTTCCATTTCTTTATGACTCTTCAGGTCTGCCTTCCAGATGTTAACTCTCCCAGGATCAGGATTAAGGTGAGATGAGTGGGTACAAAATTTAAGAAGGTACCAAAAACCTCCGTAAGCAAGATAAATAATATTTTTAAATAATCTGTATTTAAATAAAGATTAAGCAAATTGCCACAAACTGTCACAATGAACAAAATATCAAAATTTTAAACAAAGATAGGGTTGATAGGGCTATACTGGACCATATTGCAACCCAAGGCAAAAGGAAAAATGAGAGCCCTTTATATACCATTGACCCTTGAACAATGCAGGGGTTAAGGGCGCCAACCCTCCAGATAGTAGAAAATCTGTGTATAACTTTACAGTGGACACTCCGTATTGGTCGTTCTGTATCTGCTACAACTATAAAGATGAATGAGATACATTCAGCTAACCACAGATGGTGTAGTACTGTAGTATTTACTATTGAAAAACAAAATCTGTGTATAAGTAGACCCACTCAGTTCAAACCTGTGTTGTTCAAGGACCACTTGTACAAGTTTTATGTGGTTTTAGTGGTTAGATTTGCCCAAAATTTTATTTTGAAAATATTATTTATGGGTTTCTTCCATTAAAATCAGTAAAATTATAATACATTCTAATTTTCATATAAATAATACATTTCAACTTTAAGCTGTGAGTTTTACTCTACCTACTTTTCAATTGTTTCAATATTTTTAACCCACTTTAATATTCTAAGGGGAGAAATTAGCCATTGTCCCAGCCCTGCATAGCAGAAATGTCTGCAACAGTTCAAGATGTCAAGCCGTACACACTGGACAGTGTATACTTATACTACATTATACAGAGGACTCAAGAAGATCGTGTCTGAATCAACGGTTTATTGAGTTTATTCCAGGAAAATCTAACATTCCCAGGAACCAAACTTTTATTCCCTTCCTAGATTTCCCTTCCCATTTATTCCCTTACCTCAGTTCAAGAGAAATTTCTTCCCTAACATGTAAAAGAAGCTGCCAGTTGCAGAACTCTGGAGCAAAACAGGATAGTATTTATACCTCATCAGGAATCCCTTGGGTAAGGAGAGCGCTTCTACCTTACTTAGTCTTTAGGGACCATCCCACTTAACTGAACAGAATCAGACCCCTGAAGGACCAGTCTCCAGAGATCACTGACTCAGGAACCAGAGAGGGTGGGTAATCTGTGTCCTGCCTGAAGCAGCCTGTACAAGTTGCACCTGCTAAGGACTCCATATCTCTGGCTAACCTGTGGACACAGAGTGGGTTAATGCAGCTAGTTGCTGCTAATCAGTACATAGAATATTAAAGCCCTTCCTATACTTGCTAGACCTTAATGTACATAGAAACCTGCAGAAATATAGACGAGATAGTAGCTCTGAAGGAGCTAAGTGGTGTGTGGGGGTGGGGGGGTGTCCAAGTGATTTTCAGTCATAAAATTAGGTGATATTTACCAGCAAAGGGTACGGAGGTCAACCACATCACCAGCATTTTAAATTAGTCCATCCATAAATATACATATTGAACCCTATGTTATTTGCTGGAATTGTAATTATGAATAAGACATAATCTTTGCCCTCACAGAACTCAAGTTCCCAAGAAAAGGAACAGGAAAAGGAAGAAAAGCTCCCATGAGTGGGAGTTCTATATCCTGGAGGAGATAATCAATTGATATTTGGATTTGTGTATCTAAAACTCAAAAGAACTCTAGGATAGAGA